TCTTCTATGGTTCAGTTAGACAATTGGTTTTGTTTTTCAAAACAGACAGCGACAGATAAGTGTGTTAAAAAACATTGCTGACATTTCAACGGTGAAATGATACAAAGAAGGTTTTGTATGTACTAGCATATGATGACTGAACAAGCAGGAAACTAAAAAGCTGACACTGAAATTTCAGCCAGGGAATTCTGAGCCCTTCTTGCTATCAATCAGTTTATACTGTAAACCCATATCGTGTGCAGTTCAGTCAAATCTAACTGCTTCTACCTTTTCTTAAATTATGTCCCAACCTTCTGTGAGCTGCTTTGACCCATTTGTAAATGATCTTGCTGGTTTTTTAGCTTCTGTCATTTTTTCGGATGCATTTACATCACTGAAATCACACTCAATTTAGATGTCCTCACTCGCTGCTGTGATAAAGCCTGATGGGATGTCTCTGAATCTCAGCTCACAGCATTAATCTCCTCTACAGACATAGTTCATATCCCTGTAAATGGACCCAATTCTTTGTCTAAGAGCTTACTTTGAGTGCAGTGTTTTCTCCCTGGTTCCCTTTCTGCTTTTGAGAACATCTGATAAGGATTCAGAAAGGATAGAAAAGATCTGATTAGCGATTATGAAGATTATATTAATTTCCCAGCCTTTGTACCTCACACATTTCTACAGCTTTATTAAATATCACAAGCCTTTCCACTGCTCTTCCTCTCCCTCAGAAATATTTTGCAGTAAGCAAGGCCTTTGCCAATTCATAGTGTTAGTTAGGGCTGTGTATTGGCAAGAATCTGGCGATGTGATACTTATCATGATACAGGAGTTATGATTCAGTATATTGCAATATACTGTGATACTGTAAACAAATTGATGTATTCCAATTAAAAAAAAAACAACTAATTTTAGAAAAACTGTCACAATAAGCAACACACCACCATATTTGTAAAATTTCCTGTAAAAAAACAAAAAAAATCCTTTTTTATGCAGTCAGGTAAGTGTAGATATACTACAACAGTGCCATTTAGCGGTCGGGGGTTTAAATCAACACAAAATGAACCACTGCTGCAAGTCTTGACACATGAACTATTAATTAAAAATCAGTTTTTGAGATTTGATACTGTCGCAAAACGCTGCATTGTGATACTTAAATGTATCAGTATTTTCTTACACCCCTCTACATAGTTTTAATCTTTGATTTACCATTAATTGATCAGATATGGCCTGCATTTGACTGCCATCTCCTTCTCTTTGTGTCCCAGGACTGAATGAGTGTATGATCAACAATGGCGGCTGCTCGCATGTCTGCATGGACCGACCAATCGGCTTTGAGTGCCAGTGCCCCACCGGCTACCGGTTGCTGGACAAAAAGACTTGTGGAGGTAAGTAAATAAACGTATATTTCAGATAGATACACAGAGTGGCAGACTGACTGCTGACAAAGCTAGTAAGGGTCTGCATGTTTGGGCAGCTCTCAGCGCTCTAGCCGTCTTTCTTTGTTGAGCGTGCTCAGCCTGTCAGTCCCACAGGGAACCTACAGCAGCCCCGCCCTTCTACTCTCTCACACACTCAAACACATGCATAGTACAGTATGTCCTTCACACACTTCCCCATCCTTTTAACACTTACACCCAAGGAAAAAGCCTAAGATCTGTTGGAAGCAGGTCAGAGAAGTCAGTAAGGAAACACGGTGTGCCCCTGTATTTTCTCCTTAATGACAACACATTTGTATGTTTCGCCATCACTAAGAGACATGAATGTGTATATTTACTCGCCCACTATAGCTGTATTTTACTAGCTTTTATTTTGTATTATATTGTAGGAATTAAGTTGCCTCTCTTATCTAGTGCAGCTCATGAAGGTGAATGAGTCTCCATTTGTCTTTGTCTGTCTCTGTCTCTGCCTTTCAGTTGATTGATAACTTCTCTTCCCTCTCCTGCTTGCAGACATTGATGAGTGTGAGAATCCTGATGCTTGTAGCCAGATCTGCATCAACTACAAGGGGGATTTTAAATGTGAATGCTATGAAGGGTATGAGATGGACCCTGTCACTGAGACCTGCAAGGCAGAGGGTGAGCTACACTGATAAGTGAATAACGGTGAAATCAGCCGCAGAGTGGCTAAAATGACACAGCTGAAGGGGCTTTTCTGTTGAAATTCAAATGGAAATGTTGCAAGAATGTAGGTGTGTGATTAGTCTAATGCCTCTGCCATTCTGTAAAAGCTGTTTGATTACCTTGTACTTTATAAATGTACAAATATTTTGTCCATTTTGTTTTTATGCAGTATAACCTGCATTTGAAGGAGTCATCTGGTGAAAACAAAAGCTGTATATTAATGTTGTTAATAAGATCTCCTCTCAGATAGCACCTCATTAGTGCACTGCTTCACTCCTGTAGCTTTTGTCCAGCGGTGTCAAGCCTTCCTCATCTCATAATCACAAACATCTTTCTGCTATTAGGATCTTATCATTGCTCCACACTCATTTGTGTACTTGAAATAATTGATATGTAATTTAAAAAAAGGCAAGGATCACCTAGGCAACCACTAATTTTCTCCCAGGCCAAATTTTCCCTCTGGTGTCCTGTCCAATTAGACATGGTGTCATGAGTGACAGACAGATGTGTTTAGCCATGCTGAACTCTGATAATTAGGTATAGCTATTCAGGGGTACCTGGCTGAGTCACAGTGGAGGCTCATTACAGGAGTTTCTACTGGTCTCCTGTTAGGCTTGTTGACAACACTTGGCGGACTATTGGAGAACAAAGTGAACTGTTAAAAGGTCGATTATTTTTCCTTGACCTCAAGCTATGGCTGAAAGCTATTAGCAAGAGGATTGCATGGAGAGGCCAGTTTATACATTCAGTCTTCATGTCTTCGAAAATGTTCATTATTTAATTGGCAAGAAACAGTGGGTCAAATGAAATGTAGTGACTTGGTTGCTCTGGCTGTCAAATGCTGGGATGTCATTTCCCTCAGTTAAACTGAGCCGATGTCTAAGCTCAGCACTCACATGCATTTGTGTCTGTTTGCACTTACACACACCGTATTTGTGTGTGGATTGTATCAGCCCACCCTGCGTCTGTTTACACTTGTGCATTTGTCTGTGCATAACTGCCCAGTGTGTTTGCTGTCAGTTTATAGTGGCTGAGAGAGAAGTGTGTGTCTGGGTGTGCACCAGCAGCAGCCAAAGCAAAATTGCAGCGAATGCAGCGGTTCCACCACTCGGTTTTGAGACGGTGAGAACTACTGCTGCCATGACAGCCTGAAATGTTGTCATCCTGAAGGCCGGTTTATGAAAATGACACTGTTGTTGCTCAGACTTTAAGCTGAGAGAGGACGGAAAAGGTAGAAAGAGGGAGTGTGCAGCAGTACAGTACTACTACAGACTGTCAAAAGAGAAACTGAGGCAAGTGAGCCATTAATTTCATATCTGCCTCTAGATATAACTGGCTGCAGATTTCATCCCATTACAATCAGAAACAAGATATGGACAATATAGATGTTAAAAGACAAAGGTTGAGGTGTAGCTGCCTTCCCTGGAGGCACACGTGGTTGTTTTGTGTGTGTGTAGAATTATAAGAAAATAAACATACAGATATGGTGATAAAACTGCACCTGATGTATGTTCAGATTGGGTTGTAATTAAAATGCATCCTTACAACAAGTGGACAGCTCTAAAAATGGGTGTGAATGTACCTAAAATGAAATAAGGAGACACTGGAATGTAAGCAGTGAGGTGCGGGAAGTGACGGTCGACACTTCAGCATGGTAAGGGGTCGATTTAGGTTATGATGAATCTCCAGGAAACTAATGTAAAGACCTACTAAGTGACAAAAACAAGGATGTGTGTGTGTAAAAGATGACAGCTGGCTGTTCCAAGAGGTACAGCTGAATGCTAAGGTCCTCCTGATCTGTGCTTGTAGGAAGATAATAAAGACCATACAACTTAATAATGCATACTGTACAGACACACTGATCAATACTCCAACTATTCAGCGGTTTTTAATGAAGCAGCGCTGTCCCTGCACTCTAGTTACAATAGGATATTGACCTGTATTGCACAAGCTTTGGCATGTTATGTATGTGTTAAAAGACAGCCTTTGGAGTATTGACCTTGGTGTTGCTTTGACACTGGTGAAACATTGATGTTATTACCGTAGCAGAATGTTTGCATCATTCCCTGAGTCCAGTACACAAACATTTTGATGCTCTGCTCAAAAACCAATCTCTCAGGTTTATCATCATCTGCTGCCTTTACTGTGTCCTTTCTCGGCAGCAGATTAGGGCTTTATGTTTTGGGTTTAATTACTGACATAAGCGCAGGTACAGCCATTATTTCTTATTCAGTCTAAAACCATGTTTGCTCAGAATGTTTAGAAGTTCATTCCACTAAAGGATAGAATCATTTGCACTTGCTGCTGAATTTGTGGTGCTGTGTATAGATGACCTGTGGAATTCCTGGATGAGAGCAGCTTTCCAATAACAGCTAGAATCTTTCTTCTAGCCCATTACCAAACTGTCAGACATGATTTGACTGGACATTAAGCACATCCACACATTGACCCTGACTTCATGCACATTTTCACAAAAATAAAGCCCCCAATATTCTTTGCTTTGAGTGCAGGAAAGAGCCCTTACTTACTGTTCACCAACCGACATGAGATCAGACGTATCGACCTGGTGAAGAGGGACTACATCCAGGTGGTGTCTACCCAGAAGAACGCTGTGGCCCTGGACCTGGATGTGGCCAACAACCGTGTCTTCTGGTGTGATCGCTTTCACCGGAAAATCTACAGGTACGCCAAGAACGGAAGTCTGAGTTTAGAGTACAAACCTTACTAATATTCTAATTTTATTTAAGATACATAGTTGTAGACCGTAAACTGGATTTGATTTTATTCTTTTGAATTTAGATTTGAGAGTCTAGATTAGAAATCTTCTCCTAGTTTGGAAGCCTAACTTCAAATATTGAATATTAAAGGCATCCCTTGGATATTTTTTGTGAACAAGGAAAACAAATTGTTGATATTCTCTGTTTTCTTTGTTGAATGTATTTAGTTAAACATAAAACATTGGCAGGCTGCACAGCGGCACAGTGGGTAGCACTGTCACCCCACAGCATGTTCTCCCTGTGCCTGCGTGGGTTCCTGGCTACTCCGGCTTCCTCCCACAGTCCAAAGACATGCATCTTAGGTTGATTGGTGACTCTAAATTGCGTGCGTGTGTGTGTTTGTTTGTCTATATGTCAGCCCTGTGATAGACTGGCGACCTGTCCAGGGTGGACCCCGCCTCTCAGCCAATGGCAGCTGGGGTTGCCTACGTTGATGTTTTAGTTACGCCCTATTAGGGGTCAAAGGTTGTGCCATAGGCCTTCACAATAAATGTATCACTTATTTAGTCTTGATAAAATTATGCTGGATTATATGTTTAAAAGAAGCTGCACCTTTTTTTTTAAATTTAAATTACACTCAATTCACTCACTACCTGCCCACATTTTATCTACATTTTTGAATTATTTTTTGGCTGGTGCGACGTATACTCAGGAGCGACTTATAGTCCGGAAAATACGGTACTCTGATTTAGGTTATAGCACACAGAGCAATCTATTAGATTTGGGTGCTGATCTGGTTCATCATCCAGATCCAGAAATGTTTTTTTTAAAGATTTGTCACCATTGTGAGATAGGGCGGGTCTATTGTTTTCAGTCATATGACTGGCACAGAGCCCTGGAGGACCAAAAACCCTTCCAACACAGGGTGCTCGACACAACTGCAGCACACACCTTTTAATTTTCTGTTTATGTTCTCTATATTGGCTCGTTGGTAGGAACAAAGGGTCCAAGTCATAGCTAAAAGCTGTTCCTTTTGTCTTTGTTTCTAAATCTACTCCGCCAAGAGAAAGAGAGCAAGCAGTGAATGAAGATGGGAGCAGCACTAGCAAAACAAAGCAGTGAATCACTGAAATAAAATGTTAGGAAGGATTTTGTGTGAAGAGAGTCAAAGCACAGACTTCCTGTCTACCCTGCTGTGGCCACTCTGAAATGCACCTTGTGTGTGTAGCTAAGCCCACTCTGTCAAACAGACACACAACTCATATTATGACAGTCAAACTATCATGGGAATATTGCTTTTAGATGGAATGGCATTATGGGGAAACTGAGCTGCCTTGGTGGAGGTTTGTGCTCTCTGAGTGCTGTCTAGCTTTGTATTCAACAGACCGAGCATCTGTAGTTCAGTCTTTTGATGGTTTTGAAATTTAATAAACTGAGTCGGTGACTCAGGCCTGCTATTATTTCGGATTAATTCCCCTTGTTATCCCAGCTGCATTTTCTCCCCAGAGTGTCTTTTAATTGGAGCACTGTTCTCTCTTTATTAAATAGATGTCAAGAGAAAAGATCTCTGGGGAAACTAAAATTGAAATTTCTGTTGTTGAGCACAGCTCCCTGGGCCTTGCCCCACACCTCTGCCAGGACCAAATCATTATCGAGGAGGGCACCCCCTGAGTGAGACCTTGTCTATTCTGATAAGTGGTCCACCTGAGAAGGATGCTAACCCCTGAATGAACCGGCTCAGTGCACAGCCCAAGGCTACAGCTCATATACACCAGTCCCACTCTCTCCTCTGCAGTGACTTCATAGCTCAGTGGAAAATGGACAATTAGAATAATCATCAACCATGGTCATACTTATGCAATCTGTGGTGTTTCCACTTATCCTGTGATTGTCCTGAATGTGTTTATGTATACACTTTATATGCATACACTCTCAATTTATCAAATTAATGCACCAAAATATTTTAGTTTTTGTTTATTTTAGACAAACATAAATGCAGTTTATAGAGTTTGTGTATTATTATTCATTCATTTATGGTTATTGTTACATTTGCTTTTACTGTTGTGGTTACAGTCCTACTAAACTACTCTTTGGAAAACATTAAAGGATAAGGCCATTTTCTATATTAACGGTACATTCCCTATACAGAGATTAAAACCAACAATGAATTGTCACAACTCGCTCTTAATGCCTGTCAGTCTGTCAGTCCTGGACTAGTTTATTCCTCTATGCCATAGACCTACCTACATTGTTGCCATACTGAACCGATATAGCTTTTTACAGTGTTAGAAGTAAGCAAGAGTCAAAATGCACACGACCACTGGATATTTTTAAAACATATTAGGGTCTGATGTTTCATAATGAGGAAACGTCACTCCGTGCAGCAGTGTGTTTCTATGTGTTTTTAATCATTTTGACCATCAGCAACAGTCAGTATTTTGCAGTGATAACTCTTTTTGGTAGGAGCCATGTCTGTAAAATGTTTTCTGTAACCAGTTACTTCTGGTAGCACGTGTGCAACATGTTGGAGACCTCTGCTGTGGCTTATTACCTATGTATTCTTCTTCCCTCTCCTTCGTTACTGCCCCCTTAGTGCCTTCATCCACGAGGCCAGTGACCCCTCCCAGCAGGTGCCACTGGTGGATTCATCCCTGCAGACCCCTGTGGGCCTGGCTCTGGACTGGCTCCAACACAACCTGTACTGGACTGACTCTGGGGACAAATCCATCTCTGTGGCCTCTGTGGACGGCACCAAGAGGCGTGTCCTCATCAACACGGATCTCGGTGAACCCAGAGCCATAGCGCTGGATCCCCACCATGGGTAAAGAAGAAGAGATGTGTGTATTTGTGTGTGGGTTTCACACAAGCACACAATACCAAATTCAGTGAAACTTGGTTCAGAAAATCAAGCATTGATCCAGTGGTGTCATACTCAATATTAAAGGATTGAATGACATGTATACTGTGAGTTTACAGTTTACAGTACTGTTTGTTAAAATGTTGTCAAACTGAGTTTACATGGTAAATTCACAGTATGCAGATGTACTCTATACACTGTACTGATGTTTTCTTCCTGATTTATAATATTAAAGATGGTGATCGATGGCCCTGGATAAAGATTCGTTAAGAGATTTCAGACCCATAAATTTACTAAACATAATCTTCCTCTGGGACTACAACTAATGACAAACATAGGAGAGCTCTTGTTGCTGCACAGGGGAAATCAGCTTCTGAACCTTTTAGTATCCCGACTTATTAGTTTTTTTTTTGTTTGTTTGTTTGTTTTTATTCTAATCTATTACTTGATGATTGTTCCTAATCTGGGAAGCTTTATGAATGTGTGCCAGCATGTGCTTCTGTAGCTTTTAGTTTTCTGGCGATCCAATCCGAGATGAAAATGAACATGCACAAAAATAAGCAGGCACATAACCAGAACAGAGGTACAGTATACACGCAATGAGATTTTCTTCACATTTCAGACTGGCTCATGGGAATTCAGCACAGACATGCTGACTGAGACATCAAATGACAGTTCTGTTTTTGCAGGTGAATTGATATCAGCAGTGATCATTTTCATAGAAGTGACTGCATAAATTCCCGTGTGCTTTGCTGCTATAATCACGGGCTGATAATATTACACAGTAACCATTTAAACTATACTGAGCTCATACACTAAAGGCATTTAAGTTGGCTGATTTGGCAGCGTATTTACACAGACTGATGATGTGAATTAGTCAGAGCCACAGAGGTGTGGACCTGAATGGAGGGTTTGTAATGTATCAGTAGCTGATAACAGAAATGTCTCTCAGAAACAACCAGTGGCACAGATGTTATTCCCAGACACCATTACCTCTTCAATATAGTGCAGTCTGTAGTGAAATATCAACTCTTCAGCTTTCCAATCATGTTAATTATCTGGCCTATATTTTGCAGTCCTGTACATAGGCACAGAGCTTTTTTCTCATTTTGCCAGTGAAAAAAGTCTGGTGCTGTCCTCATAATGACTATAAAAGATATCTGCTATCTGGCTCATAGAACCTAAACAAGTGGAGCACTCTATAATAATGCAGAACCTTTTCATTCTCTGTTTCGATCCAGCTTTATGTACTGGTCAGACTGGGGCACACGAGCCAGGATAGAGAAGGCTGGGATGAATGGAGTGGACCGACAGGTGCTGGTGGCTGATAACATTGAATGGCCCAATGGCATCACTCTAGGTGAGAGGCGAACAGCTGTTTTTCAGCTGATGTCCTTACATTATATGTTACACAGTGATGTATTTTACACTTTTTCTGGCAGTTGTTCTGTGTTGTTAAATGTGCCAGAAGAACAGTCCTGACAAGGAGCTAATGCAGTCAATCAGCTCATTGTAGGCAAAGGTCAGAAGTAATGGAAATAATAAGGGTAAATGTTTAATGATAATGGTAAATAATAGATTTATGAAGTTATCACAGTTCCTTTGGAATGATGTTTGAAGGGTTTCACAATCTGACATTTTAAAATGTAATCTATCACCTCAAGGGATGTGTTGGTCAGACTGCGATAGTGCTTATCATGAAGGCGATCAATTTCTCCACAGCTTAGCAAAGTCCTGTTTGCTTGTGTGTGTGTGTGTGTGTGTGTGTGTGTGTGTGTGTGTGCGTGTGTGCGTGTGCGTGTTTCCCAGATATAGCCAACAGACGCCTGTACTGGGTGGATTCAAAACTGCATCTCATAGCCAGTGTGGACCTGAATGGAGCTCACCGCAGAACACACATGTCGTCTGCAGAGAGACTTGGACACCCCTACGCTCTAGCTGTTTTTGAGGTTTGTGTGTGTGCGTGTGTGTTACCTTACAGATTTATCCCAGTCTTTTATGTTGTAACACATAGCAAAAAGTTGTCCGTGATATTGTCTAGCCTCCCACAACTCATCGTATCTACATCTCTCCTCATTAGCCTCTCAGGTATCCTATAGTGTGACTGGGAAATTTGAACGGAATGACTGTGTATGTTCTTGTGCATAGGTCGGTTGTTTTCTCTTGGATTTTGATTTGATTTGATTTATTCTTTCAAGCATGTAGAAACAGTTTATATGACAACACACATAATTTTACACATAATCCAATATCAATTTGCTTATACCTAGTACATGCTTGAATGGAGTAGGAAGAAGTTAGACTTATCCAGTCCTACCCCATGACATCATCTTACCATCATTGGTTTGCAAGCAGTAAATGATTCACTTTTACACCACACAAGTATTATACTAAAAAAAATTTTTAACAGTGTTAACATTCTTAAATAATTATCTTCTACACCGCACAAGTAATATACTAAAGAATTATTACAAAGTCTACACCACACCCACAATTGTCCATCTAATTAATCATTGAGCCTGTTCATGCATATATCTTGATTGACACATACCTTTATATTTATGTTTAAACTCATCAATTCTATTACTATTTTTTATGTCTACACTTAAATTATTCCATAGTTTTACCCCACTTATGGAAATACAAAATCTTTTTTTGGTTGTACGTATAGCATGAATTTTTAAATTTAA